AAAAAAAAAAAAAAAAAAAAAAAAAAGAGTTAAATATCTACCTGTTGCAAAATTTAGCACAGAAGAAGGTAAAGCACAATCAAAAGATCAGAGGAAAATGCAGGTGATAGAGAAAGGATTAAAATGTATAACACAGAAAGGGCACATCAAGTCAACAGTTAACTGGTAAATAAGCCAACAGGAAAAAGGGGCAAAGATATCATTCAAGAAAAGAAATGAAGAAAAACAAGTAAAGCGTCACAGTATTGCACTAAATCAGCATACCTGAAGGTATTTATCAAATACATACTGTTATCATAAAACACATCTGTCACTAATGTTAATGTGTTGCTTGTTTCTTTAAAAACACATATGATCCCGCCTGCTTCACAAGTGCAAGAACCCAGTACGAAAAAACAACAAAAAAAAAAACACATAAGATCTAAGGCATTGCGATGATTTTGCTTTTTGCGGGGGGAAATAGATGTCCAAAAGACAGTCAATTTTCTCAATCTATTTATAACAAAATAACCCTTCAGCAAATTAAAATAAAACCAAGATACTATGCTCAAATTTGTTTGTTCTACCAAAGAACCAACTTCAAATCCCTGGTTATTGGTGAAGTGCTTCCTCAAATGAAGCAACTTTTATCAGAACCACCATTCACTTGTAAATACTATTAAGTCATCATTGAAGGACATATCTTTTTTTGGGAGGGTACCGGGAATTGAACTCAGGTCCTTGAGCTTGTGAGGCAGGCAGTGGAACCACTGAGCTAAATCTCCGGCCCAGGACGTATCTGTTTATTAACAGTCCTTTCATTGCAGGTTCCTTTTCTCAGGTAATTTCCTACCTAGATTCCTGTGTCTCTGTGGTATCTAAAGAAAGTTCTAGGTGTTTCTCCCTTGTGGGGGTCTCTCCCAGCACACACCCTAAAAGTAAGTGTGTGGACTAGGAAGAAATGGTGGCTCAGTGCACACTGTAGTCTGGATCCAGTTCCTCCACAGTCACACTACTGAGAAATGGGAGTAACTTTAAGAGGCAGGTCCTCGTGGGAGAAATTAAGTCATCTAGGGTGTGTCCTACAAAGGGACTGTGGGACCTGACCTCTTCCTCTCTCTTCTATTCTGGGCCAGGAGATGAATGGTTTATCGATGCAGTGACCCTATGATTTGCCACCACTGGTCCAAAAGCAATGGGGCCATCTGATCATGGACTGAAACCTCCAGTGCTTCGAGCCAATAAAGCTTATCTCTTAAATTGATTATCTCGGGTATTGTTACAGCAATGGAAAGCTGACTAACACAATGTTCACAATGAAGCTACACTGGTCACATCTTTCCCTTTGCTGCAGTAAAGTCTGGAAAGAAAACTCTTCTAAGACCGGGAGCTGAATGAAGTGAAGAACTGTACTCAATCATCAGAGCTTGCAAATTCAAAAGCCCATGAGAGCAAGACAGGCAGAAAAATATTAAAAATCTTAATATTCTGCCCACAGTAATGGTACCATTCTTGGTCCTTGAAGAAATACGTTGTCTCAATTTCTTGAAATCCTCTTGGGTTACTTTTACCTGCTCAAGGCTGAGACTATGGATACAAGGACCCATACAATGGTTAGGAGAACGTTAAGTGATATCTTGCCTCAAAACCGGTGGCAGGAACTATGTTGCACTGGAGAGCTTGTGTATGATCTAAGCAGTCAGCTGTAACTTAGCTCCAGCGACTTATTAATGCTGAAGACATGAAGTCCTAGTTGGTCAAATCTTGTTTTGCAAAAGGAGCTAGAAATTTCTCTATGGGATAATGCATGATTAGCTTCACCAACTAAAGCCAAATTCTTTTGTCTAAAGGACCACTGCAGTCTTGTTACATCCACGCTAGACTCTGCTCTACCAATTATTTCCTACCTCGGATATTCAACCCTCTGTAGTGGACTCCATCATCTGTGCCTACAAACATGCTGTTCCCTTTCCTCACTAAACTACTTCCTACGCTCAGCTATAAAAACTGCCTTCAACTCAGCTGTCATCTTCCAGTGCCAACTGTTACTCCTCCATACCTGGCAATACAATGTCCAGTTAAACTGCTTCCCAGATGTTATCAGGGACCCAAGTTGCCAGATCGAGACCATTTTACCCTTTCTAGATACTCTAGAAATCCACCTTGCTGATCACCTCGCTTCTGGACTTTACCTCATACTCACGGATTAAACATTCATTTTAGAAAACTCTTAAAAACTAAGAGACAAAGATTTAAAAGCTGTTACTTTGCTTTTTGGATGCTGTCATGATTTAGATCTAAATCATGACATGTCCCGCATGTTCTGAGACGGCGCTTGAGGGAGGTGGGCAGGTCACGGCAGGTGCTCCGCAGCTGGCTGTGCAGTCAGGAGGTGGGGCCTGCTGGGGTGGCCTCTAGGTATGTGAGCTGGGAGGGGTAGCTCTCTCCTGGCTGCCATGGCAGGAGTCCCTTTCCTCCACCGGCCCTTCCTGCCTTGAAGCCAGCTGACCGGCAACTGAATCTTCTGAAAACCATGAACCAAAACAAACGCTCTCCTCCTTCACATTGTCAGTATCAGATATTTTGTCTCAGCGACGAGAGAGAGATGAGGTGGATGCAAAGACATCCATCTGACACAGAGTGGTGCTGAGTGGAAAACTCGGGCACAACGTGAATAAATGTGCAAATGTGACATTTCCAATCTCGTGCTAGCAAGTAACCAAACTAACTCTCCAGCCCTCTCGTCTTCGGATTACCCAAACTGAAATACACCCTGTGCTCCGAAGGGTCCACCTCTCCGTGCTGCTGCGCCTGTCTTCCCCCACTAGCTGGAACTCCATGTGAGCCTGGCACCAGCTCTAATGTCTCCTCTTGAGCTTGAGTCTCTGAGCACCTCAGGCGACAGGATCACCGCCAGCTCCTCATCATCTCATTTGGTGTCGCCCATCAGATACCTGCTTTGCATCACAGGTATCTATCGGATAGACAGGTGATCCGAAAAGAGAGCGAATGTTTAAGTTTTTAAAAACCTGTCACAGTAAAAGGCACACTGCCAAGAATGATGCCATGTGTTAAAAGTGAGGGGAAGTATTTGGAGGGGGATGAAGGACAAGGTGTCTTTTACTGTAACAAGTTGTTTAAAAATGTTAAACATCCGCAGCATTTTGTAACCACACCTTATACATCCTCACCATCTAATTCACAGAGCACATTCCTCGAAGCAGAGGAAGGAGGTTCCACTGCCTGCTTCGGAGAGCAGCAGAAGCCTGCGGTAATGACCGCACCTGAGCTCTCCATCAGTCTTCTTCCACACTGACTCTGGCCTGGCCAGGAGACGTCTTGGCCAATGGGAAATTAGCAGATCAGATGTTAGCAGAAGCTTCCTAGATATTACGTTCTCTTCTGCTCTCCAGAGCCCCAAGTGAGACCTCTGCCTGCACAGGCAGCTTCCGGAAGAATGAAACAACGCAACAAAAACAAGTTCTCCCAGCTGAGCTCCCCAAAACAACTAAATCCCAGCCAAGCCACCGGACTGCAAAGGTCCACCACGGCCCAGACCAGCATGAAGCTGACCAGAGTCATGGGAATGAATGCTTCTGTTCTCAGCCATTAATGATTTGGGACCGGCGAGAAGAGCTCTGCATCTGTGCACTAACTAGTCTGACAAGGACTAGTGAAAGCTTAATTTCTGTCTGATCATCCGATTCTCTCAGGGTTTCTCTACCCTGGAAAAAGAAATATTCTATGTTTCAGCACAGGGGTTCTGCTTTGTTTCATAAAAAGAAAATTCTGTACTGATGTGGATTTGAATCCAGGATGCATTATTTACTCCCGCTGGTGTCAGGCAAATTCTCTAAATTTTCTGGGTCTTAATTTTGTTTTCCAAAACTGATATAATACCACCAAGTTTGTGGTATTGGAGACAATGTATATGCAATAGGAAATACAGTATCTGACACATTTCTTCTCTAACCAGGCAATTCATCATCATGCACATAAATTTAATCTCTGGAGCTGTGTTTCTACACTATTACTGCTCATTACTGGAAGGAGAGAGCTGGTCAGCATGGCTCAACAGGCAAGGGTGGGAATGGCTGGAAGTGAAATGCAGATGATTCTGATGCCTGGGATCTGATGCCTTGGATGATTTCTAGGTGTTTTTGCTGTTGTGCATAATACCCACTTATCATCTCTAAACTAGGAATTTTTCTTTCCAATACAGACTCGAAAGTTAAGCATAAAGCTTAATCATACTTTGGGGCCATCCAGTTAATAGTTATTTGTGGGGATACGGGAATAACAAATCACAAGAAAATATAATTGAAAAGTTACTGGGAAGCTTTGGATAAGTCACAGTTACCTATGTAATTTGGAAAAGTCCAGATACTGTTGAGTAAAAATATTTAGCACCAGTGGGATGCCTCCGCATCCTCTCAAAACATATTAAATGATTTTCAAAGCTACAGCCATGGAGAGCTTCTCAAATAACAGCCAAAGCACTGTGAATCTTCTGGGACCAGCCCACTGAGCCTGCTTAACACGAAGGTTCATGGGACCCCCGGTGACTGTCAGCATGCTGATGCAAATACACTCTTTTAAGATAAAATAATAAAATGATTTTGAACACAGCAACAGAAAGAAAGAAATCCTCTTCCATGACCAATTGCTCACCTATATAGGCTCCACTCTTGTTACCAGCACAGTCAGCATCCTCTGGATGGAGGGTAAGAGCATACAGAACAAAAGCCAAGAAATAAAGCAGAACAGTTAGAAGCCCAGCCACGGGTGCAAAAATAAATCACTTAAAACAATCATGTAAAGCACAGCATAGAACAGCCTCATGGTGCACTCTTAAACATAAAACGTTACGTTTTATATTTAAGTTCCAGTAGTCTGGAGCATCATGCAGGATTGATGCAGTCCTGAGAAAGTTATAAAACACTTGTATGAAATGTTTATGCTTTCACAAGTAAGAAAATTATAACGAATGCTCAAAGTAAATTTACTTTTGTAAATTGGGGCTTTTGATAATGTGTAAGATCTAGCACTTATTTTGGCTCACTGGATAGACAAAAAAGGCCAAGATTAAAGTACATACTTTCTATTAATAGCTAGTAATTCCATGTTGGGAAGGAATAGAGATAATTCTGGTTTTATTTTAAAAACAAGTAAAACATTTTAAAGTAAACAATGTATTACTATTTGGGGAAATTAAATGCACACTGGGCTATGCGTATTTTTAAAATTTAATGTGAACAGTGGAATATTTATGGTCTTTAAAATTCACATAGCTCTGGAAGGACGGACTCTAGAATAATTTAGAGGGGCTGTGGATGCAGCTCGGCATAGAGCCCCTGACTCGCATATGCTACAATCTGGGTTGTATCCTAGCATTGCATGTTAAGCCTGTCAACATATTTTAATACTATAACTTCTTCATTCTCTTTTATTTGAGCCTACTGAGATTACATTCCATATTTCTTCCATACAAATCCCCCCTACCCTCCAAAAAGTATATTTCCTTCAAAAACAAAATCCAAAGTTCAAAAACCATGGTTTTTGGTACTGAAATATCAGGGTGAAACTTGGATGTACAAGAGAATTCTCTTCCATAAATTGCTTGATGTATCTGATTTAATCCTACACTTACATGCACTGAACATAATTACTAAACTATGCAGGGAAACTTTTATACATATACCTTTAATTTCCTCTGAGAAGCACAAAGAAAACGAGAAAAGAAATGGTTAAATGGACAAAAAGTACAATTAAAGTAGGAAGATATTACACACAAGAAAAAAAATAAAATCCACCTACCACACTCAACTGTTTCCTCGTCTTAGAAAAGCCAAAGGGGGGAAAAAACAAATGTATTTTAAATGTTTCAAAAATATTTAGTCAATAAATAATAGAATTCTAGACTGCACTGCAGTCTTAACCTAAAAAGAATGTATAAATTTTATAAGAACACAAAGTCATTATATAGCTTATTAAACAAACAAATGGGAAAAAATAACCAGAAAAAAAACCCTTAGCTGTTTTTGAAATACTATCTTCAATAAGGGAATTTTATTTATTTTCTTCAATTGATTTTGTTTCTAAATTAAGATGCTAAAGAAATTTCATAACAATCAAAAGAAAAAAGGATTTTAGAAACAACACATTTTGCACTGATTTTAAAATGTCCAAATTATGTAAATTTAACAATATTCCAACAATGATGCATGTAACAAATGAGTCAGCCAGAAGGTTTTACTTTCATTCTGTCTGTATTAGTTGAAGAAAAGTATTTTAAAAAGGAATTCTAAACAGCTCTTAAATTGCTAATAGGATAGCAATTTAAAAGTTAAATTTGAGCCAGAGACTCACCCTCAGTAAAGGGTAGAAAAGTATTAGTAACATATCAGAAGCAAAATCTCATGGTTAGCCGTGAGTCCAGGTAGAATATATTTTGCCACATGATCTTACACAGCAAAGATAACTGATTAGAAGAGTTTTCCTCTCACTTAGTGCCATAAGCTATAGAAGGCCACCCAAAGAAAATGAATCAGAAAAAGTGAGAGCTACTGTGCTTTCCTTTTTCAGAAACCTACGGGTCTTCAACCACTGGTTCTACTTGGCAAGGATTAGGTTCATGTTACATGTTCGCCAAGTTCTTCTTTATGCCTACTTGTTAGTACCTCTGCGTTTCCTGGGCATCTAACCCAAATGATCAGAAAACAAAAAGTGAACTATGTGCTTTAGTCTGGCCCAGCCAGGCATCGAGGCAGGATAGAAAGAGGATGAGCGGTGCTTCCAACGGATCACTATGGATCTCGTGTATGTGGCTGCCCAGTGGATTATGGGACACAACAGACTAAGAAAGGAATTAGGGAAACAGTCCCTTTCACAAAAGCATCCAAACAAATGAAATATCTGGGAATCACTAACAAAGGAAGCAAAAGATCTCTACGGTGAAAACTACAGCACTCTGAAAAAAAGAAATCAAAAAGGTTACAAGAAAATAGAAAGACATCCCTTGCTCCTGGGTAGGAAGAACCAACATAGTATGTGTATTTTGCTACCAATAATAGAACACACTGAAATAAATTGAATACTGTGCCTTTGATTAAAGACTTGGTGTCCCGGTAGTCAGATGATGAAAGCCGTATCACAGAGACAAATGTAAAATTAAAACACCAATACCAGTCCCCCAATAAAGCATTCTAATTTTTTGTTTTTGTTTTTTCTTGGTACCGGGGATCGAACTCAGGTCTTCACGCTTACAAGGCAGGCAGCGGAACCACTGAGCTAAATCCCCGGCTGAAGCATTCTAATTTTTATTACACAGAGTATGTATATTTGCTACTCTAATTAAAGGATATGAATATGCTGCATAAATTCACACAAGACTTTCTCCATACAATTCTTAAGGAAGGAAGAAATGATATTCTTCAGCATGATAAAACCACACACACACACACACACACACACACACACACACACACACACACACACACACACACACACACACACACACACACACACACACACACACACACACACACACACACACACACACACACACACACACACACACATCCAAGAGCAAGTTCATCAATGGACACCCAGGCAGCGAGGCACAGGAGCAGACTCCCTAAGAATTAACAGGTTTGACCAAAGTGGAAAAATACATAGAATTCCCAGATAACTGCAAGATTTTTACTACTGCAAGGCATATCTCCTCCCATCACCTCCCAACACTTCTTCCTCCTGCCCTTTCTCTGTGTTTGTCCTGACAAGGGGCCTGGGGAGGGCCGGCTCCCATCCCAGACTTTATCAGGGTCCAGGGTCTGTGAGCTCCAGGACTGAACGCAGGGGAGGAAAGTCACAGAAAAGCACAGGAGGGAGCCTATGAGGGTCCCCAGAGTCACGTGTGCGCTCTCAGGGAGCTGTATTGAGCACGCAACTGAACGGCCTGCCTTCCACCTGATGAGTGAGGCAGTCTCGCCTGCGCTGCTGTGCGCTGCTCACACGGGCAGGGCGGAACTGCTTTCCCCATCTCCCCTCACTCTCCTACTGCAGTGTCCCCTAAACTCTGCAGGAATCCATGTCCAACCATTAACCAAACACTTCTTAACTGCATGGCACTGGGACCCCAGACAAAATCCAAGAGACCATATGGCGTAGAACCTTTCACACCAGAAGGATCTACTCTGAAAGAGTTGCAGACCAGCAATGACAGGTGTGCCGAGAGAATACAGTTTACTGAGATACAAGACTCAAGAGTCGAATGACGTGGTGATAAGACGTGAAGTTCACAACTCAAACCCTGAGCCTGCGTCTTTGCAGTGAGCATCAGTGAGCTGTTAGGGCCCAGAAGACCCCCCCCAAGGCCCACAGCACAAGCCTGGTCTCCCGTGTGGAGCTATGTCAGGGGAGGGCCTGCAGGTCTTCTGGTTCCTGGGCACCCTTGAAGCCACGTGGGATCTGGACCCATTCCTCTTTCTCTTCTGTGTCCCAGCAATGAGACGAGGGTTTTGCTCCTCTGCATGTCCCCAGCCCTGATGTGCAGCCCTGTCACCAGCCAGACAAAGCAACAAGGCCACCTGATCATGGATTGGAGCCTCCAAACTTGTGAGCCAAAACGTGCCTAATCTTTTGAGAAGTTGATTATTTCAGGGTATCTGTTAAGATAATGGAAAACCACACATAGGGAAAAATACCTTGAGGTATTTTTAAACATTTCTAGGTATGTTCCCAACAGAGGTAAAGACGTCATCTCACACATGCATACCCATGCTTATAACAGCACAATTCCATGTTTAGAGCAGCCTATATGTCCATCGACAGATGAATGGATAAAGAAAATGTGGTATTTACACACAATGGAGTACTACTCTGCCACGAAGAATAAACTGGAGACATTTGTGGGAAAATGGATGCACCTTGAGACTACAATGTTAAGGGAAATAAATCGGACACACAAGCTCAAGTATCACATGGTTTTTCTTATATGAGAAATCTAAAGAGCAAAATAAAAGACAATAGGAAGTAGGGAGACAGGTCTTTCCCAAATGGAAAGGGGATCAAGAGACGGAGGGAGGGGGAGAGAGAAGAGGGAAAGGGGTGAAAAGAGGAGTGAAGGTGCATTATGCAGAGGAATGCAAACATTATGTCTGTTTCCACAAAGCCCCTGCCAATATTAAGAAAATGTTTCATTGAGTTTTACATATACAAAATCAATTTTAGCATTTACTTGTTTTTTAATTAAGTTTATGTATGAAGTCACTGAATAAACATTACTGAAGATGCCAGGGGCAGGAGCACACTCAACCTGAAAAGCTTTATTGCAAAACCCTGTAGGATCCTGTCATGGATTTTTAAATGTGTGACCTTCAAAATACAGGTACCATGTACAGTGAATTCATACTTTTACTTGGTGTTTGTTTTACAGAAGATTGTGATCTTCAATCCACAAAACCGTCTCTGAATGAACTGGGTTACACCTGGCTTCAACAAACACCCTTTTCTGCGTCTTTATCCAAATGACAGCAATCATACTTGGTTTTTATGTTTTGAGTTTTAAAATGTCAAAACTTATGAATTTTTTCTTTTCTGACAGGAATTCCACAGGAATCATTTTGGAAAAGAAAAATTTCAAATGAAAATTATTCAATCTGCTATGGTAAAATGTTCAGATATTTAACAAATAAGGAAATTAAGCATGGAAAATAAAAAAATCATATTTGAATATTCTGTAGTAAAATATACCATACGAACAAAAGCTTTTCCTACAGCCTTCCTGAAGGCCATCATCAGTGAATTCAAATGTGAATTACATCCTATTGAAGTTAAATTAATGATTATACAATTAAGACAATTCTTAAGTCACATAAAAACAGGTTTCAATAGAATAGAAACAAGCCATCTAAAATGAAGTAATATTTCTTTCTTAAAGGCAAGGTGGTATCATATGCTTTATACACACAAACTATAAAAGTAAACTACAGTACTTCAAAATCTGTCTACACAAGAAATGCAGGTGGCTGGGTTTCCACCATGAGAAGCTATTCTCATGCACTCCCTGAGGACAGCAGCAAGATGTGCTACAAGGCCTGCTCTTCTGTGTGCCTGAGTCACATGCAGAGGAAAGGATGCCACATTTCTATTATAAATTTTTTGGTTGGGTAAACAATTCTTCAAAAGAAACAATGAAAGGAAGAGGGAAAAGGGTTATCTAATCATATCAAGTTTTCAAGATTGAAGAATATTTTCATTTTAAAGAATCCATGCTCTAGTTTTGAGGAATGTGCGCTTTTAAGAAACCAATCCTTTTCTTTGAGCAGCCTGTTTTCTGGCTATGTATTCCATTTAACAAGATTCTTCAGAGGAGAAAATAATTAAGCATCAAAGATGAGTATCAGTTTTACACTTAAAGTTTTGTGAGTTTTTTCAGAGCTGTTATTATCATGCCTCCCAATTTTATATACTTGGGAACCAGGGATTAGAATCCTAACACAAATATAAATGCAAAGATGACAGGACTGGAATTCTTTTTTTCCTTCTCTATTGCTATTAACTGAACTACTATAGTTCCAGAATCCAAAATTTCAGTTATGATGAGACACTTACGAATCAAAAATAGAATAAAGTCATAGTAATATAAGCAAGCATGTAACGGCAAAATTATTCTACTAAATCTAGTGCTTTTAATATTATCCTAGGCTTTTAAGGAAACTTGTACAATTTAATGAAGAAAATTTTCATCATTGCATTTCTTCATAAAGTTATAAGAATTATTCTTTCAGAAATTTAACATTAAGTCAAGAATTTTTCTTAAAACCAATCTTAGGAATTAATATTTAGTATATAACATGAACTTCATATAACATGAAGTTCATATAACATGAACTTCCTATTTCAAAAATCTAAGTACTAATGTTGAAATTCAAGAAGTAGTCAAGTATAATGGCCTTTGTAAAACAAAATTACATAAAGAATCACTACTAAATTCATAGGTTAAAGTGCTTTTACAGGCCAGGGATTTAGCTCAGCAGTTCGGTGGCCTGCCTTGCAAGCGCAAGGACCCGAGTTCAACCCCCAGTACCACGAAAAAAAGAAAAGTGTAAAGTGCTTTTAAATGTCATTAAAAATGTTCAGTACTAATATATTGATTTATAAACAGCTTTTAAGTTTATGAAGAAATGTTAATTTTTTTAAAGTAAAGACATTAGCTTTCTATAATTTTCACAAATATCTCTCTGAACAAGGACATGGTTACTATGTACTGAAGATTTATTTGGATAATCTTGCCAGATTTATTTGAAAATATAAACATCTGCTTATGAGAATAGTTAATACATCTTTCAGTGAATTGAAATCTAATTTGAAAAGAGTAAAAGAAAAAAAGGAAGAAAAGAAGAAGGAATATCAGTAAACATTTCTGAATGGTACTCAAGAGGGAAAAAAATAGTTAAAATTAGGACATTTCAGTAAAGATAAATCCTGGAATAAATACTTCTCAGATCAAAATACTGAAGTTTTAACATAAAAGGGGACTTATTCAAATAAATAGGCAAAACAACTTTATTGCAATTAATGCTTACACACACACACACACACACACACACACACACACACGTTCATATTCAAGTTCACAAATATCTATACCAAATAGATTGGGAGAACTATTAAAAGAGAAGCTATCCCTTTTGCATTTATGCATTTGATCATAATTATATCAAACTATCAATTTCTAAGTTGCCTTTGATTCAGAAAATCTGAACACGGATTCAGATTTGAGGATAGTGGTCACACTTACTCCATTTTTCAGGGACGTCGTTCATGGTGCTTCAGCACACAAGGTATTAGAATGACAGCAGCCCAGCCTCAGGCTCCCTCAGAGAGCGAGGCTGCTGGAAAGATGTCTCAAGGTACCTTCCAGCTAGAGGAGTTGCCAATGAAAAGCCGCCACACTTAGAAACAACACAACATTAAACTGTAAGCTTTTTGATGACTTCGAATGCCACGTGCATTATGAGAAGTGTTTTTCCCTTCTACCTAGACTTAATGAAGCAAGAACAAGCAGGCTTTTGAATCAGTGCTCCACATTAAGTACTGGCTTGCTAGGAGATTTATACTTGACTGCAGTTTGGCTCTCTTAACTATGCGATTCCTGGGCTATAAGCTTCTACCAACTGACAGAAATAACAGGAGATGTGAAAAATGCAACAATACTAAAAACAGATGTTGGTGTAAAATTCCAGAGCCATTTATTTGTTCATTTTGTTTTTTAATGAAGTAGAAATTGATGAGATGGAGACTGGAGAGGGCAAGAGGTAGGGAGTAAAGAAAAGTTGAAAGAAGAATAAACGGAAAGAAAAAATAATGCATCCAAATCCACTCTGTCTTTCAGTATGGCTACACGATCCTTTTTCTTACTCTCATTTTCTTTCCATTTAATCTGGTGATAACTCCGAACAGACGGAATAAAGGCCAGAGTTACTGACTATTGGAAAAGGAAGGAATTAAGAAGCACAATTGTTCTTAGGCATAAATACCTCTGTGTCTAAGAAAGTGGTGGATTTTGTGCCCCTAATCTTTACCAAGAAATAGCTTACCCAAATAAAACCTCTTCGTGTTGGAGAAGAAAAGAGTTCTTTCCTAGGTTACATTTATAAAATGCCAAAACTTGGAAATCAAAGACAGCAGTAGTTTTTGTTGTTGCTGTTCCTTTCTTAGAGAATGAATTATGGGTTTATTATAAACATCTCCGCAACCATCCTTCCCTTCCAAAGATTCACATTGGTATTCCTACTGCGGATTTCTTGTGTCTCATTCCTGAGAAATGAGGACCCAGAAGCTATTGCAAGATAATATGATCCCTTCTTCTTCCATGAGCACCTGCTTTAATAGTCAAAAATAAACAGCAGGATTTGGTTACTCTGCATTCTTATTAACAAACTTACATGATTTCCTGTTGGAAACTTTCAGGGGCTGAACCAGTACTTCTGGTCTTCTCAGGGCCAATCTCCTGAGGGAATAAAAGGTCAATAAGCCTATCAATTTTCAGCACAGGTTTAAGGTTAATACAGCAGTAAAATATTAAAAATCTTAAGAAAAAACTTAAAAGCTGGGGGTGGGGGAATGAACACAATACAATCTGAGTTAAGATGTAAATTTTCTTTACATATTTTTGTAGATTATATGCTCCTCCCCCGCCCCCGCCGCACCCGTGATTGCTCTTTTTCTCTCTCTCTCCAACACAGATTCGGACACTAATGTGCTGTTTTCCATCTGCTTCACAACAAAAACCCAAGATGACCCGGTACTGTCGTATTATTTTTGGCCATTATTCATACCTAGTTAGACAAAACAGAAACTCAAGCCCACAGGGTAACGGATTCTAAGGCAGGCTTTTAGGGCTTATTTTATCACAACCATTCCAGAATGGTATTTTGCAGAGAACAAAAGGTCAGCTGAAGAGAAGCCGGTGCCCCTCGCCAGCCGCTCACCTCTCCTGGAAGTGCTTGGAGGGGATCAGGCCGGCCCGGGGGTTGGCGTCCCCTTCCTGCTTCGCCTGCCACCAGGTTGCATCATCCTGGCTCATGACCTGGAGAATATCTCCCCTTCTGAAAGACAGCCCAGCTTCCTTACATGGAATCGCCTTGTCCTCGTTAGGGTCATAGTCAAAAAGGGCTCTGATAAACATCTGGAAGAAAGGTTCATTGAAGAATAAACGTAAAAAATAAATGTGACATGGCCTGCATTCCTGAAACTTAGATTGAAGAAATAACCATTTAAAAAACTAGAACGTGTGCTTACGATTAGATGAAAAAAACAGTACTTCTCCCCACACACGAGAATATTTTTAAGAAATGATTACCTTGCCATCTTTAGATGGAGTCTCCTCCTGGATGCTGGGAATAACCTTAAACGTAATTGCTCCCTGGGACTGAGCCTGATAGCAGATGAAAGAAAAAGACATCAGAAATCTGGGGCCAAGGAAAATAAGATAAATTACCTAGGAAGCTAAAAATTTACAATTTAGGGTTTACAACTCTTTGACCAAACTGAGGAAATTATTTTTGTAGAAATTCTGGTAACATGACAAAGCTTTAAAAGTTTGTCAAGTAAGTTAAAAAACATTAAATCCCAGCTGGACATGGTGGTGCACACCTGTAATCCCAGCACTAAGGAGGCTGAGGCAGGAGGATCGCTGTGAGTTCGAGACCACCATGGGCTACATAGTGAGTTCCAGGTCAGTCTCAACTACACAGTGAGACCCTGTCTCAAGAAGCCAAAAAAAAAAACAAAACAAAACATTAAATCCCCTTTTGCTCACTCCCTGTGCACTTTTAATATGTCTATGAATACACTGTCATGCATGTCAATTCAAAGCAGAAATACAAAATATGAACAGTACCTTAAATACATAAACTATTAAATGACTAGACTAGAAAATATAAAGTTCAGGTTTTATAATATTTGTGATATTAAAATATTTAAGTGTCAGCATCCATGCTTTTTGAGATAAAAAACCTATACTGTCAGTACTACGGTTGTAAATACATGATTCATTTAGCACAATGCCCATTTGAAAAAAGTGATGAAGACTTCCTATCTGATGCATTCTGGTTAGTGAATAAAGTATCAATTATAGTAGTCTTTTCATCTTTCAGTGAGTATGTGTCCACTCTAAATTAATTAAAATTTTGAAAAGTCTGGCTATAGCCTATAACTATAAAAACTGCACATATATTTTATTGCGTAAATTTTTAGATTCTTGGCACTTAAATACTTCATTTATTGGAGATTTTTATAACAGAGACTGTCATTTTTCTAACTGAATTATATGAATTCAATACCATTTACGAAATGGTTGCATGGTCTTCCCACTAACTTAAAATGCAGATGGAAGGAAAGAAAAGAGGGAGGAGGGACAGAGAGGGAGGGAGAGGAAGGGGAAGTTTCTGTTTGTTTTCTGCCTGGGGAAGGGGCTGGGGGGGACTCAGGTGTAACTGCTGGGGTGAACTCAAGAGCACGTACTCGATGCAGAACAACCGTCGACTAGGAGAATGCCGGCAAGGCACAGGTCGCTAGGATCCTTTTTGTTGGAACAATAATTTCCACGGAGGTTTTGTCACACATTCCACCATTACTCCTATGTGCCCCTATACAACTCTTCCCCTCTTTTAAAAAATCTAAATTTATTTGCTTAACTGACAAAGACATAAGTAACTGTACATATTTATGGGATGCCCTATGGTATCGCAGGACCTTTATGTACCGTGTAACACCTGAATCGGGTTAAGCGTATCTAAGCACTCACACTGACCACTTCTTCACAGCGTTCCTCCACACTCCTTTCGGTGGCCTTCTGAAGGGCACGGTACAGCACAGCCTCTGCACTACCTATTGCACAGTAGGTCACCAGCACTTCTCACTTGCCTTTCTGTATCTTAGTTCCCACTGGCCAACCTCTCCCCAGCTCTCCCTGCCCTCATCAATGCCATCCCAGTCACATACTGAGTAGTATAAAGAGATGTTCTGCAATACTCAGATCTGTTTATTGCAGTTTGCTGATGCTTTCAGACATTAAAAAGAAAGTTTCTATTTTATCCTTACATAGGAACTTGAAATTACCACTGTCCAGGTCTAAAGTAATTCCGTTCAAGTTTCACTTTCATAAGACATCTAAATAGTTTCGCCATGTGCATACCTAGAATCCAGAGCCTGCAGCACGGATGCCATCTGTTCATACCCACTGTGTCAGGCAGTGTCCCGTGCCAAACTCCTTGCATACACTGCCTCATTAATACTTAAACATCTCAGTAAAATACTTTCCCCTCTCCTTCTCATTTTATAAACAGAAACCCTCAGGCACAAGCACATGAAGGCATTTCCCAGGGACCTCAGCAACAAAGTGAGGAAAGCTGGGATCTGAATCCCGGCCTGCTTGATTCAATCCCATACATTTTAAACCAAGTCGGAAAAACCTGCAATTTTATTTTCATTGCAATTTTAAAATAAATTTACAGCTTACCAAAATCTGTATAATTTCCTCAGGTCTTTTATCCTCAACCGGTATTCCATTCACTTCTCTGAGTTCATCACCAACATGAATAAGACCTGTGTGATACAAATGTGCCACATCAGCACGGTCACACAAGAGAAACTGCAACTGCAAATGTTCCTCCCAATTAAAGCATCACTAATTCCCTCAGATTTAAGAAATAGAAAGATCTTCACATGTCTCAGGCTTCAAGTTCTATGCCTCTCTACTACGAATCAAAGCAATGTAATAACTCTTGCAAAAATTGTAACAGGATGCTATAACTAGAAATGTACGTTACTAATAAATCATGAAATAATTTTTTCTTTTAAAAGTTGTATGCTCTTGGCAGTTTTCAAATCAGGAACACTGAAACAGGTCTTAACAGAACTTTGCACGCCTGTGTGCATTCAGACCAGTGAGATTTATCTAGCATTTATTTATGTAGGTTCCAAAATTTCAACACAGAAAATACCTTGTGGCTTGTTTTGCTATATTACATCTAGAGATATTTTTAAACTTAAATTGGAAACGTCACAAAACCCAACTCCACTTGTGTCTCCTCGATGAGCATTTAAACCTCACCACTTCTGTGCGCGGCCCCTCCTCTCATGACTCGAGCTACAATGATCGCCCCCGTCTGCTCATCCTTCTTAATGGTGGCTCCCTTTGAAGGAAAAAAGAGAGAGGAGCTGTGAGGAAATGTGCATACTGTGTTGCAGAAAGGAGAGGGGGACACAAGGACATTCAGCCAGAAAAAGTGCAAACAATGACCAAATAATTAAAGGAATAAAGCAGATGGAACAGACCTTGTGTCATCTAAGGGTTTCAGCACAACATGAAGACATTTACAATTATTAACCTTTTCAAAATTGTGGGAAATAAAAAATCTTTTTTCAATTATAAGACTATCTTGTAGTAGTTGTATTAGAAACAGTATTTCTTTTTATTTTTTAAAGTACTTTCTCACTTTATTTTATTCTTATTGTACCTCAAGAAGAAGATGGACTAGCTACGGTTATGTGAGCAGACAAAATTATGTAAAGATGACATCAATCAGAGCCCAGGCCCAGTCATCGGCTGGAGTCTTGCTCAGCGGCAGAGCACGTGCCCAGCACACTTGAGGCCCAAGGCTCCACCCCAGCACCCTCAATTCCGTGATTCTTCTCTCACACTAAGCTGTTACAGTGAAGGAGCCTGGTAATAACAATAAAAAAGGAAAAATATGAAAACCTAGAAATTAGTTTTATATGTTGCTCAGTTAAATAGAGAGAGATCTGTCACTCCAGGTTTTTAATGAACTCAGTTTGTACTCAGTACAAATACAGCTGAAGTTTAGATATCGGATTCAGGAACAATCTCAAAAGAAGCCAAAATTTCTCACTTACACATACTCAGAAGCACATTAACTGAATTCTGCTCTATAGGAATAACAGGCACTAATGGTTAGCCTCCACGTGACTTTCCACCCAAGACACAGGCACTGGTTTAGAAAAGCCTACACCACATGGCGTCAGATGGCTGAAAAGGTCTACACGGTGCTGGCACGGAACCCAGGTCCCTGTGCGTGCCAAGAAGGTGCTCTGCCACTGAGCCATACCCCCCTGCAGTCCTCAAAAAGGTGCGCTTTACGTGGTGGCAGAACTTATCCTAAAGAAGTGGAATTTTCCTAAAGTTTGTCAATAAGCACAAGTATATTATTAAAGAACAGATATGCAAACAGTACAAGTCAGTTCGTAATAAGTATATTTCATACCTGACAAATATCAGATACATCTAATAATAATAATAGTAAAAATAAAAACTTAATGGGATATTTTGTGGCATTTTTCCTTATTTATGTGTGCTTGACTGAGCATCTCTCCACAGCCATAAACCTTAGACCCACTCATTACTGATCTTTTCTTTATTTAAGCAGATAAAGCCACAATGACTGGAGGTATATTGTTCATACATTTTTAGTTTAATCGGACCAACTTTCATCCTTTTGTAACTCAAACTGTACCAACAAAAAAATTCAATAATCTAAGTTTAAGTTTTCTTTTTACAGATGAGAAGCTGAATCCCAAATGAACACGATTTGCCTAAGATCGGACAATTAGTATCTGGTGAAATCGGGACCCCTCTGAGACAGCCTGACCAGATAATCTTAATTTGCATTCAACACTGCTCACCCTGTATTTCCATAAACTTCTGTGCATAAGGCATTCGGCTGTAGGTCTGCAGATTCACTACCCCAGGGCTTGTCTTCCCTTCTTGCATGTGCAGGTCACATTGCCACATCTGGGTGAAAACCATTTGACAGCCTCCAACGCTATGAGAAGGCAGGAGGTTGCCACATGAGCCTCATAAAACACTGGATCTCTGCGAACCCAGCTGCCACGTGCAAACTCTAACCACAGCCACGCTGCGGGGAAGCACGTGGAGATCACCACGTCTGGCAGCCCCAGCCACACAGCTTCCAGTCCAGGTGTCAGCAGTGTGAGCCCCGGAGCCCTACAGGAAGCGGTCTCGTCTGACCGCACTGCCAGGGAGTCTGGGTTATCCCCGCCGAGCCCACTATCATGAAGACCTGGGGGACATAATCAGGTACTGATGTAACCCCAATGTCTGGACTAAAACCACATCGTGTTCGTGGCAGAACCACACAACTGGAACAAAATTCTCTTTTCACTACGCAATAGCACTGTACTGGTTTCCAGTATAGAACCATCCAGTTTCTCGTGCTTAGTGCTAGTCCCTCTGATTCTTTCTGTGATTCAACAAAATTGAGAAATGTTTATCAAGAAGTTATTATGAGCCAGACAGGATTCTAGGGATCTGTAACACACCGGTGAACAAAACTTCTGCCTCCTCGTGGAGCTTATCATCTAGTAAGGGAGAGAAACGATAAATAAGAAATGAAATAATCAGATGCATTAAATCCTCCACTACATTGCGGTAAGCAGGATGCAGGTAGGAGGGGTAAGGAAGGTCAGGATCCACAGCAAGTGGAGGGAAGACAATGAGGACACAGGTCTCATGGAGAATGATGTCTGAATAAAGAAAGACTGGAAGGAAGTGACAGCCACAGTGCTAGCCAAAGGGAAAATGCAGAAACAGCAGGTACCAAGGGGAGTCGGTGGATGGGAAGAATATTCAAGGAGGAGCAGAGTGCAGCAGCAGAGGAGTAAAGGGAGAAGCAGCAGGAGTTGAGGCCAGGGAGCTGCATAACGCAGTGCTCTGCAGACCACGCAGAGGACCCTGGGTTTGACTCAGAAGGAAAAGGGAGAACACGCAGGCTTGTGAGCTGCAGGACCTCCTGTATTACAGGTAAAGGAATCTAAAATGATCACGGCGTGCCCTATGTGGGTACCGACCCTCCAAAATGAATGTAACTATTATGTATTGCAAACTAATAAAACAAATTAGCAAGGGCTAACACAATGAAACAAATGAGATTATCAAAATAATCCCGGGGACAGATGCTGGTGACCTGGATCTGAGTGGCAGGGACAGAGGTGATAAAAAGCATCATGGATGCATTTTTGGCACAGCCAAAAGGACTGGCTATGGGATGTGGAAGAGAAGGACCAACTACTGCTCTTTCAGACTGAGCAACTGCAGGGACTGAGTTGCCATCAGCCAGAGTGGAAAGACTACGTACGGGTGGAGCCAGTTTGGGGACGAGAGCAGGAGTGTATTCGGGACACACGGACACTAGGATTTTCTATTAGACATTAAATACAGATATCCAGCAGACAGACAGATTTAAAATTCAGAAGAAAGCTCTGGAAAAGAAATAATCCTGGGAGTCACTGGCACTTGGATGTTTTCTAATGCCATGGGCAGAATGAAGTCATTTCTGGAGCGGGTAAAGAAGAGCCCTCTGACACTAATGGACTGTTTTGCTACAGATACGAACCCTGATAGAGAACCCCTGCCACCTACTGATTGTACTTCACTTGGGGGGAAACTATGGCCCTGAGAAACAACTTCACTTCCTACATGACAGTACCACTGGATTCAATCTGTATTTTAAATCCTTCTTGAAGACTTCTATATCCAAATCGCCTTTCAAATCCCTACTATCACAATTCCCTGATGTATTCCCAGCACAATATATCTGTATGAAAGATCAAAACTCAGGGCCGGGGATTTAGCTCAGTGGCACAGCACCTGCCTTAAAAGTGCAAGGTCCTAAGTTCAATCCCTGGTACCAAAAAAAAAAAAAAAAAAAGCAAAACACAAAACTCAGTGACAGACAGCATAATAAATGATACTGTATGAAAACTGAAAGTTTTTTGGCATATTCTGCAAAAGCAAATGAATTAAAGTGGAATATAATATTTTGAAAATTTCTTTTTGCATAATTATTTTGAACTTACTCAATGTTAATGTGATGGAAATAGAATACAGAGAACTTCAAGTTCGACTGAGAGGTTAAAATTCTGGTAATATTCCTGTTCACTGTTAACTTTGTAAAGTGTTTTATAAAGGAGAACACTAGTACTGGATTATAATGATTTTCTTTTTTTTTTTAATCATGATTTCCTTAAATCACAATTTTATCTCTTATAAACTGCCAAGGTCTCCTCCAGCAGGGAGCACAGGAATTTCAGGTTAAGATTGTGAAATAACTATTTTCAAAGTGCGCATTAGGAACGTCTCAGGCACGCTTTACAATCAAGATTCCCAGGCCCTACCAAAACCTCCTGTTACCAGATCTTTGGGGAAAGAGCTCAGAAACGTGCACTGTAAGTAAGTACCGCGGGTCATTCTCACAAAACCAAAATCTGAAAACTACTCTTCTCAAAAAAGCAAGAGGACAAACCTCACAAACAACAATAAAAACAGCACCAAAATCCCCTCACCAACTAACAATCTCATTTTCTTGAGCCTGTTTAAATGTGAATTTCCTGGATAAAACAAATATAAATTGCTCCAAGGTCGCACAGGAGCTGGGACACCGCTGCTCATCACATCCTGACTGCCGTTTTCCCCCTCTTCTCTCAGTTCTTTTACTCCTCCTTCCCTTTGAACTAACTTCTCGTCTCCACTGCCAAATACCTGCGAGACCTGTGCTCCCGCCTGTTGGCCCGGAAAATCATTCGCCCTCTGCATAGCTCAGTCTAGAATCCAGCTTTATTGTTCTGTGTAACATCTATATAGTAACTCAGAGCTCATAAAGCACGTCAAGTACATTCTATCTCCTTGGTATCCCTCAAGGAGGGCATCTCCTGAATTTCTGATGAGGACACTGAGGCTGAGACAGGACACAGCAATAAGGGACAGCACCTCCCGCTGGACACCCACGAAATCTTCCTGTTCACGATCCAAGGTGCCACACTGTACCTGGGTCTAACACAAACACTCGGTGAGAACCTGGCCCTTGGCCACCAGCGCCCTTCGCTCCTGACCCATTTCCCAACCTCTTCCTGACCAGCCTGGCTTCCCTCGTTTGCCTTTCTGCCCTTTACTACTTGAGCGCCTCTTCCTGCCTCTGAGTCTTCACTCTGCTCTTCTCCTTTGTTGCCTCCTCCAGGAACTTCTCTAATCTGGAAATATCATCTGACAAATAATGCTGAGCAAGAAAACATTTCTACTTTTCCGGGTAGTGCGTTTTAAATTTTAAATTTAATCACCCAGTAATCTCATCTAACTTTTACAAAGCTGTGAGACTAAAAACATGATGCTAATTATACACTCAGAAGAGAAAAAAATTCAACACAGTTAATTTTCCTCGCTGGATTTCATTTAAAATTACATTTAAAATCTTAATACTAAAAAAAAAAAAAAAAAAATGAATACCCAATAAATAATCTCAGGAATTTCTTCAACCCAGTTAAAAGCTCTTTCTCCATAGGAAGCTGGTTTTTTGTCTGTTTTTAAATACAGCTTCTTAAATATAAAACACAAAAACTACACTGTGGCTAGCTAAGAAGATAAAGAATCACTGACTAATTTGTTTTAAATAAATAAACTCAAAAGTTCTTAAAATAACTTTAAATTGCATTAAACACAGAAAGCTGAAGCTAGAGTTTAAAGAAGTTACCTGCATATGTTTGTGGGGGACGGAAATGTTACCAATTTACTTTTAAATAATAAAATTCAAAATCAGAGAGAAATTTTTAAAAATGTAAGGATAAGAAAGTGAGCAGAATGGCAATTAAAGATAAACTGAAATACACAGACCTAACACTTTCAATGTCTCATTTGAGAGTAAACAGAAAGGAAAAATGTTACTAATTAAGTAGAGTTCAAAGTTGCTACATTATACCATGCTACACTAAGAAGAAACTGAAATATTTGAGAAATGCTTAAATGATCTCCTGAATACACAAATATTACAAATCTGGCAACCACTTTTATACTCGAGAAATATTCTCTTTTTAAACAACTTATTACTGGACATGATCTTCTAAGGAAATTCTTCACTTTTATCCCCTGCATTTCCTCCTAACTGAAAGCCAGTATTTCTAATCTCCCAAATAAAAACCTGCTGTGCTACTTTTGGACTTCTTTCTCTGCTTGTACTTTCCATTCAAGAGCAGCTTGGTCACGTCAAATCCAACTAGCACACATTATCCTAGCTCACAGTCTCATCTCAAATGCACGGCACTACATAAACCGTAAGAAACGAGTAACAGAGGAAGAATTTACCACCTCTCGTTCATTAAAGTTTGTTTCTACTATTACATGCTTTTTAGCAAAGGGGTGTAATATATTCCATTAGAAACTATGACAAATTTTATGCTGCTCACTGGATTTCTCATATTTAAAAGAAGAAACAGCAGATCCAAAGACAAAGGAAATAATAATAAGACAAATGTTGCTGATGACTGTAAATGTCAGCTCACCAAACCAACAAACACTAGGAAAACTAAGCTTGATCAATGCAATTATTACTAATGAATTACTGAACTCATCAATTGGGATAGGCTTTCAATTACCCCCCTAAGAAGTTTAATCTGTCAAAATAACAGAACAGAAAATTACTTACTGATATATGTACAGGATCTGCAAAGAATTCTCTCCACCCAATGCGGGTGGCATATATGTTTACTAAGCATGTGACCACAGTAAAAGTCAAGAGATATTTAGGGCACCACTACAGAGTTCTAGCTACGGATCAAAAGTGTGTATTTTACAACATGAAAGTAAAGAATCTGAACCAGGAATACAAGGAGTCCAAGAATGAGTGTCTTTAAAAATATGCTAAGTATCTGTATGTTTTTATGGGTATAAAAATTCAATTCATTTATCGGTGCATCTAAGGTGCCCTGAAGACAAGAAGATAAACTGTCAAAAGGGAAGGGTGCAAAAGACATGGTGTAATACAAAGAAAAACCTAAAATCTGAGGGTAAAGAGTTAAGTTTACATCTTAATTCTACTATGCTGCTTTACTCCCTTGAATATAAGTCTTCTAGACTGGAAAATCAGGAAACTATACCAACTATGAGGATTAAATATATGGAAAGCTCCCGATATACATACTGCTGTCAACCGTTACATGTACTATCAACTGCTCCTTACTTCAAGAACACAAAAATGCATTAATTACAGTGAACTGGGCATGATACATTTTAAGTCAACTGTAGATTATGTGAATTACTTATTTTTTCTTTTGAACACAGTTTCATAAACTATGGACTGGCCCTGTCAAATGAGCACAAATTAGAGGTTTAATATGAGTTCATTATTTTATAGCTCTTTGGTCAGAAAGCCAAATGGGTCTTTCAGGACTAAACTCAAGGGATGCCTCCTTGCTGTGTGCCTTCTGGAGGATCCGGAGAGAACAAGCCCTCGCTCTTCCTGATTTCCAGAGGCCACCTGCATTCTGCGACCCATCGTCACATCTGTCACCCAACCCTCCTCCATCCTCTCATGCCCCTCTCTCCCCTGGCCCTACACCTTCCTCTTCCACTACTCTAAGAGCACTGTGGTTGCAGTGGGCCCACCGGTTAATCCAGGACACTTCGAGGCCTCAATCACAAAATGTCCATCTTGCTGAACAAGACACACATTCACAGGATCTGGGGAAGAGGATATCACATTCTTGGTGCGTGTTGTATTTTTTAATAAATATCAACAATGCATTGTTTTCAAAATCATTGCTACTAGAAATCAACAGAATGCTTGCTATTCTATTTGGCTTCATTCTAATTTTTAAAAACTATGTTCTTCAGACATAAATGTTTTGTTTAAAGCTTGAGGACAAGAGGAAGCACATTTTAAAAATAGTAAGAGTTAGTATATGCCCATCCAACTTGCCACCATCATGACCTCTACTCATACCTTACCCCAAGTGTCGACTGGACTTACCAGCGGTTCTCTATTCTTGACCAGGCGGATTATTTTTACGGAGTCTTCCTCATCATCGATATCATCAGGCATAGCAGGCAACACAGGATCATAATTCTTCTGTGCCACAGTGTCATGCACAGAGAGCAGAGCCTATAAAATGCAAAGGGTCGAGAAAACATTAAGCAAATATGAAACCTCCAACACCTAAGACTATAAAGAAAATCAAAACCAAGTTAAAATTTTGTCATTACAATGACAAGAAAGCAATGACTTGCAAAGAAGTCTCCTCCAAACAGGAAACAGAAAGCAGAACGTGCAGAGCTCGAGAAGGAGGCTGTACGAGGCGCGACCTCCATGTCTAAAGCCATGGTGCATGACAAGAGGCAGAGGGGCTCTCATCTGGCTTGCACGTGCCCCACTTTATCCTTAGGAAGGTGGCAGCTGGGGGCAATGGTGGAGGGGTGGTTACTTTTGAGGGAGAGAGAAGATGAGGCTATGGATACATTGTCGATGAGCTAGGAGAATCCTGAGAATACTATTATGCTTTTCCTTCTTCTTATCATTTCTTGCTATCAGCAGAAAACACACCACCAATGTGCTTCTTTTGTTTTCTCGCTTTAATTTTTTGTGTAATAGGTATATGGAGAAGAAGGAAAGTATTTCTAGTCACTGCTGGTACTGTACAGAGGTAAACCCTTCAAAACACTGACATCTTGTTCTTAAGGATCAAAGATGGGAAAAACACGGGAACCTTACATGTCACTACTATTTTACATGAGTGGGTTTTAGACTTTCCACCACTTTGTTCCCTGACAGCAGCACCATTATCCAAAAGAAACCCTGAAACCATCGTAAGACCTCCTGTCTCACCTATATTTCTAACATTCCACCCATACACCATTAAAGCTACCCTAAAATATATCTAAAATTCATTTTCTACTAAATCAGAGATAGACAAATAATGCTGCTTATTTCTGTAAATAATTTTATTAGAGTTTATTGGAATATTTATTGGAATATTAAATAATATTTATTGAACATAATATTTATTTACATATTGTCTGTGGATGCTTTCATGCTATTATGCCAACTCTGAGGAGCTCGAACTGGTCACTTTTTGCCTAAAAAGCTGGCCGTTTCCAGGTCTAGATCACTGATGCCATCATTTCTACCTGGAGATCACAATGACCTCTAGATGTTTCTGCTGCATTCACTTTGACCCATTTTCAAATCCATGATTCACAGGGTAGTAAAGGTGATTACTTTAAAATTCAAACCCTTCTAAAGCTACTCATAGGACTGGGGAGGACATCAAACTCTTTATCATCCTCTGAAAAGTCCTGCAAACCCTCTCAACCTTATACCACTTTCTTCTTCACTCAAATTAAATCATTTCATTGCGACCTGGGCAAAATATCCAATATAAAAGTAAGACCCAGGGCCAGGGATTTAGCTCAGTGGTTCTACCGCCTGCCTTGCAAGCTCAAAAGTTCAATCCCCAGTCCAAAAAGAAAAGGAAATTAGGTGGGCTGGGGATTTAGCTCAGTGGTTCCGACACCTGCCTCACAAGCACAAGGACCAGAGTTGATCCCCAGTACAAAAAAAAAAAAGTAAGTCCCTCCATTTCTTGACCTCAGTGCTTTGCCCTCTGCTGAGATAAATGCTTACAACTTATATGGGGGGTTTTAGACTGATACATTTTAATATTTCCATCAACTGAAATGGAAGAAAAATGTCTATTTTCTACTCAAAACCCTTTTTAGTGACTCCTGGAACATACAGAATTGATTTCATCGAAGCAGAGAATAGAATCGTGGTAACTAACAGCCAGGAAGGATGAGAAGAGGCAAAGGTAGTAGAGAAGAGTTGCTTAATGGGTGCAAAAATATAGTCAGACACCAGTAGTCTGTAACACAACACAGTGACTGTAATTAACAATACTCTCATGTATTTCAAAATCACTAGAAGACAGGATTTTGAGTACTGGAGAAATAAAAGGCAAATATTTGAGCATTGGACATGCTAATTATCCAGATTCAATCACCATACACTGCACATATACTGAAGGACTGCACTGTACTCATGACTATGTACAATTACTTGTCAATGAAAACGCTCTATTACCAGAAAGAAGTAGAGAAGTGGTTCTTAACTGCAATTTTACTCCCCAGGGGCCATTTGGCAAGGTGTAGAGACATTTTTTATTGGAGGTTCTACTGCCACTTAGTGTACAGAGGCAGGAGTCTCCCAGATATGACAGCATACAGAACAAGCCCTCCCTCAAAAGCACTATCATCCAGCCCCAGAATGTCAAAAGCTGCAAAGCTGAGAAACTCATGCTGTTTTGTCCCCACAGGCTCCTGAGCAGAAGGCCTGCTTCCCAAAGTGGTGACGATAGTGGAGGGGCCCTAGGAGAGAGAGAACCTTGAGGGAAGCAATTCGATCACCGGGCACGTCATCCCTGGAACAGATTAATACTGGTCCCGGAAGGGAGTTAGTTCTCGAGAGAGTGGGCTGTTTGAAATTGAGGGCACCCATGCCCTCAGCTTCTTTTGCACACGGCCAGTATCCTTACTCTTTTCTTCTATGCTGAGATGCTGCCAAAGGGGCCCTCAGCATAGGCCAAAAAGGCAAGACACAGTCTTGGATTTTCAACCTCCAAAACTGTGAGCTAATGGATCTTTTTTTAAAGTACCCAGTTTAAAGTATTTTGTTATAGCAACAGAAAACAGATTAACACATCCTATTAGATTAATATATAGATTAATTATATTAGAACAGTTCATCTTCTCAGGGAGCAGGGAAAATCTATTCACTGACAAGGCACTGAGAGGACTTACTAAATAAGGACTGCCTCAATGTGAGAAAAATAAGCCCAAAACTAAATGCCACTATGGTCTCATCTAAAAAAGCTTAAATGCAAGTCTACAGAGGTTTGAATTGCTTCCAAATAACTTAACTGTACAACAGAAAAATATTCAATATTATCTATAGAAATACAAAAATACCCATAATCAAATAAGAGAAAATTCAAAATGACTGGTAGTCAACCAAAATTACTAGGTATGCAAAGAAAGCAGAAAATACTACTCATAATGAAGAATAAAAATAATAAAGCTACAGAAACAAATACTGCAATTACACAGATACATAATAGACAAGGAAGTTGAAAGTTATAGCTATGCTCTAAATGTCCAAAATACCTAGAAGACTGGATATGAGGTATGAAATATATAACAAAGATTCAAATCAAGCTTATAGAGATTAAATCTATAATCTATGAAATAGGAAAAAAAATACACAAAATAAAGTTAACGTAGATTTAGACACTGAGTAAAAAATAAACTTATAGGCAAAGCAACTTAAACTATCCAAAATGAAAGACAAAGAGAAAATACACTGAAATATCATGAATACAATATCATGTTGACCTGGAGTTCTATATCCAGCAAAAATATCTTTAAACAATGAAGTCTTTGGTGAAATAAAGACGTTTAAAGACATATAAAAGCTAAAAATAATAATAATAATCACCAGCAGACCTGCACTGTAAGAAATGGTACAGTCTATAGTGAGGAAATGTTACAGAAAGTCTTTAGACAGGAGGAAAATGACAGATAGGGCCTCTAGTGAGGAACAAAGAACACTGAAAATGTATACTATCTTCAAATTTATATAATTGACTTGAAATATAGTAAGCATTAAAATAGCCAGTGCAAAATTTTAAAAATAAATTCATTATTATAGTTGCAATGACACACAGACAGCACTAAGAACACCCGATGTATCCCTCCACTCCTTAGCTGCGGACTCATTTCCATTTCTGGATTCCAAAATGAAGTCTTACAGATTTCAAGTTCATCTTTGTTTGTTTGTTTATTTGGTTGGTTGGTTGGTTGGTTGGGATTTTTTTGGTACCGGGGATAGAACTCAGGTCCTTGAGCTTGCAAGGCAGGTGGCAGAACCACTGAGCTAAATCCCTGGCCCTCAAGTTCATCTTTTTTAAAAGCTTTGCTTTACAAATATTGTTTGTCAGCAACATTTTTATTTGGATAATTAAGTTACTTTGCATTCCATTTTTCTGTTTTAACTGTGGTGATTTTATTCTTTAACATACAGATTTTCCTTTCAAGAGGCAGAACTTCTATGGAAATTGTGTTTCCATATGCCATAGCCACCAATCACAACTGATGGGTTTACCTGTTGCCCAGAAGAATCTGCAGGAAATTGAACACTAGGCTTTGTAACTCATCAGGCTCACAAATTCTCACTAACTTGGACCCCCTGGAGTGAACTCCGCGATCTAAGTATCTTTCAGGTCCAAAGAATTAAGTGTCCCGCTCACAAGGATGAGTAAAACTGATTTATCCCTCCAAAGGAAGCTTAACTTTCCCTTCAGCATGCTTTAATGAGGCCTCATCCATCCTGCATGCTCAAGCAATGAGTAATTTCTGGTAAGTGAGTGTTTTGGGAAGCTGAAAAATTACAAAAACTCTTTGTCTTCTTACCTTTAAAGAAAATCCACCAAATCTTCCCTGATTTCCTAAATTACAATACCATCTTCAAGAGTGTCACTCTACTGTTTTATCAAAATGAGCCCTGGTGTGATGACATACAGGTTATTTGGCCTGTCCTGCAGCAATGTGATGTCAAGGACTGGTTCATATTTATAACCACTATCTCTGCTGTCCCTAGAAACAGAAACTCTGTGCAGACCGGCACCCCACCATCAACAGCCCACGTCCACCGATGCCCTGCACAAATGTGTGACAATCACTGCCTCTCCTTCTTATCACTCGGTCCTTCTTTCATATTTCATTGTTTCTCCTGGACTTTATGATCTGAACAGTAAGGTTACATTTTGTAGATATTTTATGAGCTAACAAGAATAGTTCCTTACTGTAATTAATCAATTCACACTGGGTATAACCTTTAAAATTTTTGACAGTTCTCAAGTAAAATTATTGTTACAGAATAACAAACCATTTCCTCACCATTTTAGACTTGAGGGTGCCAGGTTGTTTGAGGAAAGCATTGGCATTCTTTAGAACCTTGGGGTTACTTAGGGAGTGAAATGAGCAGCACCACAATTTGATGCTACAATTAAGTAAAAAACATGAATAAAAAGTTTAAAGCCAAGGGAATACAAT